TGTTTGACTTCTGATACATGATCCTTGAAATGATCTGAACGAAGCAGATCTGTTATCCAGCAATAATCATCATTCGTTGATCTGGAGAAGATTGCATGTCTGCCCTTAAAAATAAAATGAAAAAATGAACATACAAATATTTCCATGCATGCAAAGCTATTGGGTAGCCTATAGGAGAGCTCTACCTCCGACTCATCAGGAGGCGTGCCAGACCTCTGCAGAGAGACCACTGCTTTCAAACAGAAAGGTCCCTTTCTGCTGCATGCTGCAGGGGACAGGCTTTTCTACTTAGGCTGAAGTTGCCACCTGTCCAGGATCCACCCACACAGTCTGGGTTTTGAAGCATGTGTATGGGTTTCAGTCCACCAGATTATACCAATGGTGGGCGTGGAATGTAAAGAGCAGAGTACGGAAAGAGTCGGTGTAGAATAGGGAATGTACAGCAGAGTACGGAATGAGTCGGTGTAGAATAGGGAATGTACAGTGCAGAGTATGAATGAGTCGGTGGGAATAGGGAATGTACAGTGCAGAGAGAATGAGTCGGTGTAGAATAGGGAATGTACAGTGCAGAGGAATGAGTCGGGTGTAGAATGTTGCAGAGTACGGAATGAGTCGGTGTAGAATAGGAATGTACAGTGCAGAGTACGGAATGAGTCGGTGTAGAATAGGGAATGTACAGTGCAGAGTATGGAATGAGTCGGTGTAGAATAGGGAGTGCAGAGTATGGGAATGAGTCGGTGTAGAATAGGGAATGTACATTGCAGAGTACGGAATGAGTCGGTGTAGAATAGGGAATGTACAGTGCAGAGTATGGAATGAGTCGGTGTAGAAATAGGGAATGTACATTGCAGAGTATGGGATGAGTCGGAGTCGGTGTAGAATAGGGAATGTACAGTGCAGAGTACGGAATGAGTCGGTGTAGAATAGGGAATGTACAGTGCAGAGTACGGAATGAGTCGGTGTAGAATAGGGAATGTACAGTGCAGAGTACGGAATGAGTCGGTGTAGAATAGGGAATGTACAGTGCAGAGTACGGAATGAGTCGGTGTAGAATAGGGAATGTACAGTGCAGAGTACGGAATGAGTCGGTGTAGAATAGGGAATGTACAGTGCAGAGTACGGAATGAGTCGGTGTAGAATAGGGAATGTACAGTGCAGAGTACGGAATGAGTCGGTGTAGAATAGGGAATGTACAGTGCAGAGTACGGAATGAGTCAGGGAATGTACAGTACAGAGTACGGAATGAGTCGGTGTAGAATAGGGAATGTACAGTGCAGAGTACGGAATGAGTCGGTGAGTAGAATAGGGAATGCACAGCGCAGAGTATGAATGGTCGGTGTAGAATAGGGAATGTACAGTGCAGAGTACGGAATGGGTCGGTGTAGAATAGGGAATGTACAGTGCAGAGTACGGAATGAGTCGGTGTAGAATAGGGAATGTACAGTGCAGAGTACGGAATGAGTCGGTGTAGGGAATACAGTGCAGAGGAAGTCGGTGTAGAATAGGGAATGTACAGTGCAGAGTACGGAATGAGTCGGTGTAGAATAGGGAATGTACAGCGCAGAGTACGGAATGGGTCGGTGTAGAATAGGGAATGTACAGTGCAGAGTACGGAATGGGTCAGTGTAGAATAGGGAATGTACAGCGCAGAGTACGGAATGAGTCGGTCGGAATGTAGTAATAGGGAATGTAATAGGGTGTACAGCAGAGTACGGAATGAGTCGGTGTAGAATAGGGAATGTACAGTGCAGAGTACAGCGCAATGAGTCAGTGCAGAATAGGGAATGTACAGTGCAGAGTACGGAATGAGTCGGTGTAGAATAGGGAATGTACAGCACAGAGTTCTGCGCTCTCTTCCAACCTCAGCTTTCCAGTTCTCCAGATGAATTTGTGAACACCAAGAAAGAGAACTCTCATAGACTGATACCATCCACACAATTTTTTTCAACAAGATAAAAAAAAATATACACTCACATATGATTAAAAAACATCAGTGGATATGTGACCAACAACTGCAACACTCCTAATACGATGTGAGATCGCACCAAGATGAAATGATCTTCCGGCCACTGCACCCTCCACTGCTCACTCAGCTCCAGCATAAAGACTGAAGCTATACAGAACTCCTTTCGGTGGTATTTTGTGCCATCCATGAAAGGGCCACATCAGGGGCGGACTGACAACTCATTGGGCCCCCGGGCAATAAGGGATCATGGGGACCCCTGTGTCCTTGCCCAAACTCAAAAAAGCCTATGAAAAAGGTATCAGGGGCATCTCATGGGGCCCCCTACTGACCCCCGGGCCCTCGGGCAGTGCCTAGTTTCCAAATCGTCAGTCTGCCCCTGGGCCACATGATCTGACAGGTACTTGAAGAGTCGGCCCAACAAGTAGTAGCGGATTGTCTCTAGTGACCCATTTTATTGCCAGACACGCTCTTTTCAAAATGGAATTTGTTTCAGCCGGGTGTGATCTTCCGTCTCAGGTACATGCCAGTGTACTCTCTCCCCCCCCCCCAATCACCTGAGACAAGACTGCACCCAGACCCAGCTTTGAAGCATCTGTCTTGATGTGGGTTTTGTATTAGCTGGAAGTCATTATGTACATTTGCAAGGCTTTCCTCTCAAATGAGAGACTTTTCCTGCTTTATTTTTCTAACTTTTATTGTTAAGCCTTCATTTTCTACCATGCAGACTGACACATACAGTAACTCTTGTAATGGATACATACATCTGACTTTTTGTTGAGATAACCTTTACTCTGTGCCTACTGTATGTAATGCCATTAACTGATCTTGTGACAGTTCAAATGTCCTACTTTGCATAGCAAGAAGTCTCCGGAAAGGGGAAGTGTCCATCATGGATTCTCTGAACCAGGAACACTTTCTGAAAGTCTGAGGCTGAAGACCTGTTCCTGGCACACAGCCTGTTCAGATGGCAGAAAGCTGCTTCTCCCTCAGGACTCCAATGGATAACAGTGAAGATTCTCCCCTTCATGAGGTCTGTCAGAGGTGCTGCCAGGCTGGCAAAGTTGGGAATAAACCTCCTATATTACCCAACAATGCCAAGAAAAGAACACACCTGCTTTTGTGTGAGTGGATGGGGCTACTTTTGGATGTCCTTCACCTTGTTCAGCTGTGGTTTGGTCATGCCTCTGCCTATAACATACCCCAAATGGTGGGGCCTCCTCTAACCCAATTTTGCTTTTTCTAGGTTCACAATGAACCCTGCCTTTCGGAAGGCATCTAGGAATAACTGAACCTTTTTTTAAACAACTTTCCCAGTCGTGACTAAAAATGACAGCTCCCGTGTAATGACCTTGGATGAGATATTTCTTAAAAGGTATTGCCTCCGGGTACCTGGTGGCACAGACGTGGACCAATATTTACTGGTGTCACCTAGATGATTTAACTAAGGTGCCCATCAGGTCCATGGCAATACAATCGTGCAAAAGTGGGGCATCGCCATGGTTATTTGACAGGTCAGGACCCACAAAGTCCTTTATTTCCTGGTATACTTGGGGCCAATAAAACCATTCCAAAACCAGTTCCTGCATTTAGCCACCTGAAAGGAACCCCAAGCACATGACCATTAGCCAAACGTAAAACACTTTGAGCCTGAAAGACTGGGTACCATGAGTTGTTCAATCATTTCATTGCTCTCTTTGATTACTCTGTATAGGAAATCAGATTCACAGCAAAATGGGGGAACTGTATAACTACTCCATGTTTCTGTGGTTCATCATTTAAACTCTGTGACCTGTTCCCTGGCATAGATCAAAGTGGAGTCTTTCAAACGAGCACCAAGAAAGTCCTCCTCAGAGCCCTCGATAGATCTGGCTTAGAAGCAGGAATCCCAGCTTGAAATCCTGCAGTCACCTGCAGAAAACCTGGGTCAGTTTCTGCGATTCACACATCTCTTGACATCTATCATCCTTATTTTTAAGCTGGAGTATGTTACTAATTCCCTCGTCAGAGGCTTCCTCCTTTTTAGTGGAGGCCTCAAGACCCTCCAATTTATGCTCATACAAGTCCTAAAACAGGAGGTAGTTTCGCGCCCGATCAGAAAGTCATTTGGCAATCCTAAGATCACCCAAACTCGATGCGGTTTCTGCTAGGGTGGATAAGGTTATAGTGGCACCGAATAGTCATTGAGGTCCACACAGATGACACCCACCTGTTCTCAAGGGATCAGCTTTCCCTGCAAACTATCTGATTGGAGCACTTACGGAGACCAAGAGTGCAGCAACCTCTTATTCATTGACTCTTTTCACACACTCAATGTGCATTCAGACTTTTCACAGCACATATTACATAAGTATACATGAAGTGTTCATGGCTCACATCGCATTCCATCAACTCATCCTGCTTTGGCACTGGGCTGCCTTATGACCCAGTTGGTGGCAGGACCAGCACCAAACATTGTGGGGTTCTCTTTCCCTGACAGTTCTTTGAAAGGATTAGGTGCTTGACTTCTGGTGGGAGTGTTATGCATCAAAGCATACACAATGTGGTCAACATGCAGCATCTTGACACAGGGACACATCTCCTTGATCCAGATCAGCTCTCAGGTTGCAGAAGGCCCCTAGCTGTGATGTTCAACTGTGTGGCCATCTCATCTGGGGACTGGGGCTCTGACTGGGCCACCCACTGGTGCAGCTCCTTAGGAATCCCTGGTAGAAGCAGGTCCAGGGCAACTTGCTCCACAATCTGGGGGGAGTCATCTCCTCAGGCTTCATCCAGTCTTGAGATTAGGTGCATGAACCCAGCCCTCTCCAGCCAGCCAAGGTAAGAGTCACTTCCAGCCTGGCTAGTATTTTTACCTTTAGCAAATTATAATCTCTTGCATATTCTGGGGAAAACTCCTCCTACAAGCTGTAACCAGTGCTCTGCTGGACACTAATAGAAGTCACAAGACTGCTATATACTGCTGATGAAAAAAGGTATTTAGCAGTTTATATAAAAGTTTACTAAAACAATTGCATTTCCATATTCTGTCTACTGTGTGAGAGCGGATATAGTGAATGTCCGGGGAGAGCGGATATAGTGAATGCGGGGTCCGGGGAGAGCGATATAGTGAATGCAGGGTCCGGGAGAGCGGATATAGTGAATGCAGGGGTCCGGGGAGAGCGGATACAGTGAATGCAGGGTCAGGGGAGAGCGGATATAGTGAATGTCGCTGTTGTCAATCACATCTAGTCAGCCAATGAGGAGTGAGGGGGCAGGGCAAAGCCACAGCTCCGTGTGTGAATGGACACATGGAGCAGTGGCTTTGGAACACACCTGGCTCCCATAGTCTGGAGAGAGCAGATATAGTGAATGCGGGGTCCGGGGAGAGCGGATATAGTGAATGCGGGGTCTGGGGAGAGCGGATATAGTGAATGCAGGGTCCATGGTTTAGTAACACTTCAAGTCCTGCTAGATCCCTTCAGGCCGGCCCCTTTTTCAGGTATAGCTATGTAAAACATTAAAAATAAGTGTCTGTACTGTTTTTAAAACCCAGAAATACACTTCTCACCCTGCTCTGCACATGCTCAGTTGCTCTCTATTTTTTTGACACTGTGCTGAAAAATCAGAGCCACTAGAGACTGATCTGCTGACAGCCTAAAGAAGATTTTTGCTGTTCAGGGGCTCTGAGCTTTAGCAAAATGGCCGTCTCCAGCAAGAAGAAACAGGAGAAATGGTGGAGGCAATTTACAGCTCACACTGATTTTGGTGGCAAAATTATTGATGTGATATACAGTATGTTCCTTACTAAAAAACATTATTTTTGATCACGTTGTTATGGGTAAAGTTCGATTTTTAGCCCAACTAACGTAAACTTTAAAATGATCCCTTTCAGTGGGTCTGCACTTGGATTAGAAGAGTTAATTGTTTGTTTACGTCTAAGGAAACACTAAAAAAGTTACTTATCTGCTCCTCCACTAGACCAGTCCCCACAGCGTCTTCTCCCCAATGTTCCACCCGTCTAAGGTCCTTACAGTATGTCATCAAGACCAGCGCAGGGTCCATAGCCCAACACCGGACAAGACGATGCTGAGGGACAGTCCACTGCCAGAGCATGGGGGGGACACTATCTGCCAGGGAGCGAAGGATCAAGTAAGTAAAAAAGTGCTTTTTCTTTCCCTTAGTTTAAGCAAGCAATTAACACTTGTACTGCAGGTGCATCCCCACATTTTAAAGTTTCCTGGATTTGGGCTTTAAACTATGTTTTGGGAGAATCACACCCTTGGTCACAAATTATCATTGCATATCTATTCCTTACCTTCCTTAAGTTCTTTTCGTGGTTTTTCTCTGAAAGAATAAAAGACAAATATGAGACATTGTGGAAAGACACCTTCAGAAGCAGAGTTCAGCCAAGGCAGTCTCTCTACATCTCTGACAGGGGCCCTTTAGGTGTTTGGTGGAAATGTGAGGATAACCCCCTCCATTGGTACATACTCCCTATACAAAGACCACACACGCCTGGTTCTTTCCCAAAAGGTACCTGAGGCCGCCAGCCACCCAAGCAACAGTCCAATCACTCCGGCTCCAATAAACAGTCAAGGGGCTGTCTTTTTGTGATTTATCGCTTGTATAACTTGTAATAGGGAGAGGGGTTGGGGATTTGGGATACTTTCATAACGTTCAGCACATAGCAATTGGAAGAAAATCTCTTCCCTAAGTCTTTCTGAACAGGTTAAAGTGGTTGTAAAGTCTCAAGGCTTTTTACCTTCATGCATTCTATGTAAAAAACCTTCTGTGTGCATAAGTGCCCCCACCCCCCTCCCAATACTTACCTGAACCCCATTGCTATCCATCGATGTGCATGACAGCCTTGACTGGCCCTGGGTCTCTGCTTCCTCATTGGCTGAGACAGCAAGTGGGAGCCATTGGCTCCCGCTGCTGTCAATCACATCTAGTCAGCCAATGAGGAGTGAGGGGGCAGGGCAAAGCCACAGCTCCGTGTGTGAATGGACACATGGAGCAGTGGCTTTGGAACACACCTGGCTCCCATAGTAAGCTGCTTGCTATGGGAGCACCCGACAGAAAAGAGGAGCCAGGAGCACAGGCAGGGGACACAAGAAGAGGAGGATCGGGGCTCATCTGTACAAAACCACTGCACAGAGTAGGTAAGTATAGACATGGTTGTAATATTTTAAAAATAAAAAATTGTACCTTTACAATCACTTTAAGGCCTCACAGCTGGGGACCATGAGGTAAGTCTCTTTGGCATTCAATCTTCTCCTTTGTAATTGTGAATATTGAACAGTCTAAGGCCTCACATCTGGGGACCATAAGGCAGGTTTTTGGCCATCTGGTTACCTTGCACCCGTGCACAGTTACTGGTACCCAGTGCATCATCCAGTACACAGTCTCAAGGATGAATTCAGGGTCACTACTCGCAAGTCCCCAGAACATATGCCACCTCCCAGGTTCCTCCAGGCACAACCCAGTGAAAGAGATAGCACCTCTCAGGACCAGATCCCTTAATGGTGTGGTTCTGGAGGTAGTTCTAAGCAAAGTCTATTTAATCCTTTAATCCTGGCACCTCCAAGGCCTCCTAGAGCAGCTGTCAGTCCACAGATTGCCTGGCAGCAGAAGCTCCTGCACCTCTGGAACCCTCCTGGGGAGAAGGAACCCTGATCTCCAGTGTCTCAGATCATTTATCTCAATTCCAACCCCTAATAGGCACTCCTCCCCAGGGATTGGCTGGAACACAATAGACATTCAGATTAGTTGATTTGAATTTCCCAACCTAAGCTCTAGAAATGCCTTTCAGAGGCAGGAGGAAGCAATCATACTCCCAGCCTGTGAGACCCTGAATAGGACAGAACAAACAATTACTGGTTCCTTGATTGCAGAAGGAGCCAAAAACTAAATTTACCCAGCATCCTGCACTAGGAGGGTGCTACATAATATTCATAAAAACCCAATGTTTTTATAGGAGGATAATAGAGGAATAAATTACTGAAATGTCTCCATTACCTGAAGCCTCCTTTAGGATGTGGTGGATGTGTCGGAGTTTATTGGCCATTCTTCTCTCCACTGATAGAGGGTTTATTTTATGTTTAGTCAGATATTCCATTTCTTCTTTGCTCAGGGTCAGGAGTTCACAGTCCAGGTATCCCCCCTCCATCCATCGGGCTATAATCTGTCTCTCCAAATTTATATCTTTCACATCACTTATCACAACTTTTATGTTTCCTGGACCTACAGAGTAGACAAGACTATAAACTAGACAATACATGTAAAAACCTTCCAAGCATACTGTAGCTCTAAGAGATGGTCAACAAAACACAATTCCTACATTCAACTGTTATAGTAAAAACATAGTAGATTGTACAATCAGACTGAAGTGTGTGTGTCTGGCTGTACTCTCCATCACTAATGTGTTATCCCTTCCTTTCTGCAATCATTTTTTTGTATTATTCCTCAGCACAATGCCGTGAATACATTATTAAATATTCTCCCCTTTGAAATCCTGAAGGTGACACTTTGCACGGCTGGTGGCTCTCAATCCCAGCAGTCAGGGTCTCCACTGATGATCAGGAGCCAATTAGAGTGGCTCCTGATCATGTGACCACTATATCAGCTGTGACTTAGTCATTACATGCAGGTTGGAGACCCCAATGATAAATAGAAAGCTTTCAAGCGAGCAGATGCCACCTTTAGGCTGAACTATTTGTATGCAGTGGCATATATTCAATAGTGTAACTGTCAGGTACAATTGCATTATTAAAATTGATAATAAACTCATTTAAAGATAGGGAAAGATTTAAGCCTTTTTTTAACAACCAAGCAAGTTTTTTTATTATGTGTACCAAATACCAAGTACCGAGTCATATACAAAATATCTTATATACAGTAAACAGCTCTCAATAGTAGGCAGTTGCACCCAGGAATATCCCCCCATGAGGAGTTAAACTGTAAAATAAAAAGAGGGGAGCCCCTCTAAGAGTAGCAACTAAAACCAGCTATAGGATGAAGGATGAAATCTTCTCACGTGTTCAGGTGGCTGTTACCACACAGTAAGTTGTTGCCAGGTCGGGTTGTAAGACCGACTGCAGTATGGCTGTTCTCTGTGTACAGTCTGCCTGTGGAAGAGTTTTATGTGCAGCAGCCGCAGCGCTTGATTAGCCGAGTTCCCCTCTAATGTTCTCCTAGTTATAAGTAAAAGGGGACGACTTAGGACCAAGGGGTACAGTTCTAGAAAAACTGGAAGCTTACTATATTCCAAGGGAAGGCAATTCCATAAGGTCCACAAGTATGTAACCATTATAGAAAACAAAGACCTGGTATGAGGAATAAATAGGCACAACTGCTCATGGAAAGGTGTGCACACTCACCATTATTAGACGCAGCTGTGAGATGGGGAAAACAGCTTTCATTGTTTGAACACTGATTGAAGTAAATTCAAGTCCAGGCCTATAGTTAGTTAGTTAGGGTCTCTGTTTGTGTCAGGCCACAAGTGTTGTTACTGATCATTGGAAGGACTGATAAAATCCTACAAACTCAAGCCAGACTGGCATTTTGCTCAGAAGGAATACTCAGGCACGTGCTACAGGACCAGTTATGGGAGGGGGAATACTGTAGATTTGTGTAAGATTGTAAGCTGTTGTGCTGCACCGCAGGCTAGCCCATACCGTACCCCCATACACTGATTCCTGCTCTGTAGGGTAATAACAGGTAAGGGTGTGGCAGCTTAGTTGTGCCCCCAGTAGGTAAATTACTACACTTTCTACCTTCATCCATCAGAAGGCGCCATGCTGTGCAGCACAAGGGTCTCAGCCTTTGGGCTGGGTGTATGTAAATATATTGTATATTCCAGCATTTGTGGTTGCGTTTATTTGCCACATCTAAGTAAAATTCTGTTGTGACAAAAGCTGGTTTTGGGGTTGCTTTCCTCGTTCGTGACTTCACTGTATCCTGGGGAGCCCACCCCGGTACACGGCTTACACAGCAGAGGAGAAATGTCCTCTGCTGGTCACAATGTTGGTGTAAGGCAGGCTGGTAAAAGCAGGGAGCTGACAGGCACAGGGGTTCATTAACTGATCTCCCCTTCTGTGTCACTGACAAGCTCAGGGAGATATCTGTCAGAGCTGCAAGGATTGGAAGGAGAGAAGATGAGATCAGTATGGGGGGGGAGATTTCTGGAGAAAAATGACACAGGAAATAGACGGAGGGCATGGCAGGGGTTAAAGGGGCTTGGGCTAGGTGGTTGATTGAAGAATTTTAAAAAGTAAAGTGGGCAGCAAAAAATATCTGATTGGGTCAAAGTCAAGGATGGGTGGAACTGCAGTGGCTTGTCTGGCAGTTGGTCTGGGGTGGTCTTTAGTTGTGGAGGTCTGCTGTGTTGGGGAAAACTCCCCGCCCTTCTGCCCTACATTGGGTCTTTGGGTGCTGGGTTATGCTA